AGAAAAATAAAAAGAAAACAGCCTTGAAACAGAGCCTCTATTCAAAGCAAAGGGCAGCTTTATTAACTTTTCAGCATAATGATGTTTTTCTCTATGGTAAAGATCAGACAAGTTCATTGCCCCTCACTAGAGCTTTGGGTTCATTAAATTTAAGGATCCTTTCCTGTAGACAACCTACTACACGCTTATATTCCACTTACCCCTCCATCACATTGCCCCATGTGACCTTGGCTAATGGAACTTGTATAAAAACCTTAAAACTCTGGCTACTGTCATTGCCATGAATTATCAAGTCCTTTGTCTCTGAACCAGGCATCTCATGTCGTCTGCATCCATAGAACTATGCCAGGGCCCCTTGTTAGCTTGGAAGCAGAATAAAACCTTAGGCCTCCCTGTTCTTGATAATTACTCCCACCTCTTTTGTCCTGACCGTTACTCATGAAACAGCCAAAGTAATATTTCACTTTCTGAGGACAACCAAATCCAGTGACCAAACAGTCTCAAGAAGGTGTGGGGAGGTACAGCTCTCCAATGATGAATGTCATTATATTGTATACCTAAAAATGTACCAATAAAATTAATTTTTAAAAAAGAAGGTGTGGGGCATGGATAAAGGTGAGAGTAGAGTAGGAAATTTTTCCAGTTGATTTTTGAGAAGGCAGTTTCAATACTCAACCACACAGGACGCCTGTGAATAGCAGGGAGAATCGAGAGAATTAGCTCCATCATGTATCTTGATTATCTGGTACAATTGAGTACTTTTTGCAAAAAAAAAAAAAAAAATGCTCCCCATTGTCGGAATGTAAATGGTCCAGAAAACCAAACAAATGACATAGATCAGTTTCATAGGCTACAATGGTCTGACAGGGGTTGGCTGATCAGACTGGAACAACATTGTAACCTAAAAAGGTGTCAACAGTGTGAGGTACCACCAACAGGCCTGAGAGGGACGAATGGCCCATGCAGTCATTCGGCCAGGAGCAGTGGAGGCTTGTGTCTCATGCAACATGGTCTCCAGCCTTGTAAGAAGAACGGTGGACAGTTGGAGGATGAGAACCCCCGTGTAGCTCTGGAAAGGTATCAGCAAGGTTAACGGAGGGTCCTACAGCCCAAGTGCTGCTCCACAGGTGTCCAAAGAACCCACTTGAGAATTCCTACTCTGCTCAGCCATTGGCTGTGAGCAGCCATGGGCACTGTGTCCTTTGCATGAACCTAGTGACACATATAAGAATTCACCAATTAAAACTATGTTCTACACACTCTCTGCAAATAGAAAATGTAAGAGCTGTCTCTTCATGGCTGTCAAAACCAGCTATGATTAGCAAAAGAGACTCTGTAATAAATTATATGAAAAGGAACAAAGGAAATCAGACCCTGGAACAGCAAAAATGTTAATGTTTATATATGTAGTTTTTTTGTTTGTTTGGTTGGTTGGGGTTTTTTTGTAACGGGGATCGAACTCTGGTCCTTACGCTTGCAAGGCAGGCTGTGGAACCACTGAGTTAAATCCCCGGCCCTATATGTAGTTTTTGAATATATAAAAAGAAAAGAATTAGTATCGTATGTGGTGTCAATTTGTAATGTATAAGTTCGTTTTCTTTTCTTTTTGTTTTCAGTCCTGGAAATTTAACCTGTGGCTTCACACTAAGTTACATCCCCAGCACCTGCTTTTTTCTGTTGTTTGTTTGTTTGTTTTTCAGACAGGATCATACTAAGTCACTAAGTTTCCCAGGCTGGACTCAAACTTGTAGTTCTCCTGCCTCAGCCTCCTAGACTGCTGAGATTACAGGACAAATACTTATATTTTTAAAAGATTCTTTGAGGGCCAGGGATTTAGCTCAGTGGTTCCACTGCCTGCCACCAAGGTCCTGAGTTCGATCCTTGGTACAAAAAAAAAAAAAAAAGATTCTTTGGGGAACTAAAACTGATCTTTAAAGCTTGGAGAGAATAATATAATAACATATTTAGAATGTTTCAATGTGTTAGATCATTTTGTTCTTTTCTCCCTAACCAAAAACGGACTGAAAGCTTTCTTCTGGCCCTCCTCTGTATATGAGACTCAAACAAGTAGGAGGAAAGGTAAGGAAATAGCCCCTGGCTTTCTTACATCCCAGTTGGATAAGGCCTTCCTTTGTCTCAGGCCGGGACCTAGTGAGAGGGAGAAAAGAGAAGCACAATGTAGCACACCTAGAAAGTGCATCATCAACATCCACCACCTACATGCCTCTGTGTCACTTATTTTAAAAGATTCATTGATGACTCACATATCTTAAAATTAACTCATTTAAAGTATGCATTTTAGTTCTGGTGTTATTCACAGAATTGTACAACCATAACTATGATCTGAGTTTAAGATATTCTCATTAACCCAAAAAGAAATACATTAGCAGTCACTTCTCCAGCAGCTACTCATCCACATACACACACACACACACACACACACACCAGCCCTGTTTTCTGGCTCTATAGATTTTTCTACTCTGGGCATTCCATATAAAGAGAATCATGCAACCTGTGATCTTCTGTGCCTGGCTGTGTTCTCTAACATGTTTTTCAAGGTTTATTCATGTTATATTCCTTACCAGCATTTCATTCCTTTTTGTTGCTGAGTAGCGTTCCACTGCACGGGTGGACATATTACTTTTACTTCTTTATTCATCACTTGATGGACATTCGGACTATTCCTACTTTTTAGCTACTATGAATTATCCTGCTAAGAATTTTCCTGTAAAAATCTTTGTGGGGATGTATCTTATCAATTTTCTTTGTTATATGTAAGAGTGTAATTGTTGGTTCATCTGGTAACTCTACATTTAACATTTTGAGGAATTGCCAAACTATTTTACCTACCAGGTTCACCAATTTAATTTCCCACTAGAAAAGAACAAGGGCTCCAACTTCTCCATATCCTGGTCAAAATTTGTTATTGTCTTTTTTTCTTTTTAACTGACATACAAAATTGTACGTATTTGTGGAGAAACATGGTATTATATGTATACACTTGTGTAATGTTCAAATATCTATGTCCTCAAATATTTATTATTTCTTTGAGATTAAAACATTCAAAATTCTTTATTTTAGCTTTTGCTGGAAGATGTAGTAAATTATTATTATTATTATTATTATTATTATTATTATCTCTAGTCACCCTACTATGGAATAGAACACCAGAACTTATTTCTCTTATCAAACTATAACTCAGTACCCTCCCTCCCCCATACTCTCAGACCTTTGGCTAAAATCAAGTGTAGTATCTGCTCTTATCAGACGTCTTTTTTATGACTGTCAACCTAGTATGTCTGAAGTGGTATCTCTTGATTTTGCTTTGTAGTTCTCTAATGGCTAATGGCATTGAGTATTTGTTCATGTGCTTTTGGCCTCTTGCATATCTTCTTTGTGTCTATTAAAATCTTTTGACTACTGTTCACTGAGTTGTCTTTTTGGGTGTGACTTGTAAAAGTTTTTTTTTTAAGAGTCCTTGTTTTGTTTGGTTTGGTTTGGTACCGGGAATAGAACTCAGGGCCTTGTGCTTACCAGGCAGGCACTGCATTGCTGAGCTATATCCCCAGCCCCAAGAGTTCTTTATATGTTCTGGATATCAGTTTGTTATAGGTTATGATATGTGATTTATATATTCTCCTATTCTATGATTTGTCTTTTCACTTCTCTATTATTTGCATCACTGAAGGTTTAACTATTTATGTAGCCCTTGTTACGGTTTAAATATGAAGCGTCTCCCAAAGACTCATGTATTGAGGGCCTGATCCCCAGCACAGCAACATTCAAAGATGGGGCCTAGAGGTGGGAATCATGAGAACGCTGACCTCATCAGCAGGTTAAGACATTGATGAGCTCATAGCTAAATGAGTTACAAGGAAGTAGGGCCCAGAGGGAGGAAGCAGGTTACTGGAGGTGTGTGTGCCTGGAGGGTTATATCAGGTCCCCGGCCTCCTCCTGTCGGACTCTTTCCTCCTAATTCTCCACAAGGTGAGTAGCTTGCCTTTACCATGCTCCTCCGCTGTGTTTCTGCCTTGTAGTCAGCCGACCATGGACTGAAATCCTAAACCAAAATAAACCTTTCTTCTTTCAAGTTGTGCATGTTAGGTATTTTGTCCCAACAATGTAAAAGTGACTAATGCAGTCCTATTTCTCTACTTTTTTAATCTGTTGCTTATGATTTTGGTGTCATAACTAAGTAACTGCTTATTCGTGTTTTCTTTGTTCTCACACTTAGGTCTGTAATCTATTTTGACTTGGCTTTGTGTATGATCTAAGGAGGAGGCTCAGTTTCATTCATCTGCTTATAGATATCCACTTGTACTATTTGTTCAAAAGGCTATTTTTTTCCATATTGAACTGTATGTCATCTTTAAGCAAAAATTACTCTGTTTCTCTGTGGCCACTGTCTGAGAGGAGGACAATCAGCCTAATCAGTTCCGTCTCCTTATATCTCAGAATTTCTAGTACTTGTTATTTTGTGAAACAAACCTCCTCCAAACATATTTGTTAACTAAACAAACACAAGAACTATACTTAACCTTGCTGAACTACCTAAGAACTTGAACCATTCCTGTTTGCTATAAATATTCAGTGCTGTGAAGAAGGCTGCTTGCTTCTATTGAAACTCAGCCCTAGAGCATTTGTCTGGGCAGCTGGGGGACTGATTTTCCTGTCTTACCCATGACCTCTCCCAATAAATGCATTTATTAATTTCCATGAATTGTTGTGGCCAGTGGGAGGTGTGTAGCAGCCACCAGTTGTGTAACTAGAAAATGCAGGCTGCCAACAGAAGCCCACAAAGACTACTGAGTCCCCGCTCCCAGTTTCATTGTTGCCTTGGTCCTGTGAGTTCATGCTGCTCCTGGGCCTTCTGTCTTATGGTGGAGAAAATAATGGGGATGTTTAAGAGTCCTTCAGGCCAATCCCATTGCAGCAGTTCTAAAGTATCAAGTGAGACTTTTGAGAAAAATCAGAGCTGGACAGTAAAGTGGCAAAAATAGATTTTATTCAGGACTATTGTAATACGAAGAGACTTCAATGTAGAACTGAGCCTAATTCAGAATAGATCGAGGAAAAATGAAATGTAGAGCCAAGGGAGCAGGTGGGTCAGTGGATAGAAAATTACCAAGGGAAACTTCAGGGGTCTGGGAGATTTAGGGTGAAATTGCTATGAGTAGATTCCTGGCTGAAGACAGGCCAGGGCAAGCAGACACCGCATGGGGCTAATGGAAAAGAAGGCAAATCAGATATTGAGAATGGGAGATTCTGACTAAACCGAATTTTCTGGATTCTTTCTAAAATTGAGTAATAAAAAGATGGAGACAGAAGTCCAAAAGTCAAGGCCCCACTGGGAAGAGGACGCAGAGGAATGCAGCTAAACCTTGGTCAAGGAAAGAGCCTCAGTCAGTGGGCCAGCGCGAGCAAGCTGCTTAGCTCACTGCGGCACACATGCCCACCACACACACCGTGAAGACTTAGAGAACAATAGGAAAATACAGATTTAATGCAGGTCTAGATTTCTCATACTGGACTCCAGAAAAACATAGCTATTAAAGTTGTCTTCAAAAAGCCTAGAAATGGGACAGGGATTTAGCTCAGTGGTTTCGCCGCCTGCTGCGCAAGCGCAAGGACACGAGTTCGATCCCCAGTACCAAAAAGAAAAAAAAAAAATCCTAGAAACAATTTCAAAAGGTGAGTTATTATTATTATTACCTTAAAGAAGTTAATCTCCAATTCAACCTGTACTAATCTTCCAGCCTGTCATTACTCCTTCCGGTTTATACTACAGAGTCAGAGTAGCAAATATCCCAGGAAAGAACCCTTGAAGCACAACATCTGCAGCTCTAGGCATGCCCTAAAACTCCGTGGTTCAGGCAGGCCTCTCCCGCCCAATTATTGTGCCAGATGATACTTGTGGATGTGGAATCCTAGTATCTAAAATCTAGAAAAGTAAAGATGCAAGAAAATCCCTACTTTCCAGATGAGACAACTGAGGCTCAAAGAATTAAGGGATTTGTCCTGTGCCACACAGTGAATAGAACTTGATACAGCATTATCTGTAAAGTCTTGGGGTATGTTAATGTTCTCAGTTGAAGTCAGTGATGTAAGACAGTTTTTATGTAAAATTTGAAGGGCCGGGGATGTAGCTCAGTGGCTCTGGCACCTGCCTCACAAGCCCAAGGTCCCGAGTTTGATCCCCGGTATCAAAAAAATAAATAAATAAATAAATAA